AATGACTTCAAATTTCTTCTTTGAAAACAACAACAAAAAGCTATCGTCACTGACCAGTGAGTATCACTTCAGAGACAGCGAATTTTGACCAATTAGAATGCAGGAAAATCAATAATCACCTCGAAACTAATACTAAATGTGTGTCTTTACAACAGCAGCAAGGTATTAAGGCCTGGTTCGAATACAGGGTGTAATAGTACAATAGTACAAGAGTGTACTTCTATAATTGTGTAGCTCACAAAGAGAGTATCTTTTAATCATCGACGGTCAGCGATGGCTATATACTGTCGGTGTTTATACTGTTGAATGAAGTCTTTTGTTACCGACCACAAACAATACATCGCCGACTGTCGGTGACACCGTGACATATGAGAACAAGTCTTAACAATGATCAAAATCAAGATCATAGTGGAGGATGCATAGCTTACTTGTAAAATGTCAATCCTGATGTTGTTCCAATGAAAATAGCCTTAATCCTATCTGAACTATAAAAAGGTAAGGAGAAAATCTTAGGAAATCTGAAATAACAAGGACTAAAATTAAATTACTTCTGCAAATGCTTCTCCCGCTCGAATAAAAAATAAAAAATAACCATGTTTTAACAATGACAAGATTTCAAATTCTGACCTGCAATCATTTAAACGATAATTTCGTACCATTCTATTCTAACTAGGCTTGGGTTTTAATGGAGGTACACTATACACATTTCAAGTTCAGATTTCTTTGCAAGAAAATATTTGTACCTTATTTCCCCTGGCTTCCAAGCAGACCCAAGGCCAAGCTCAGTGATGTCGAAAATAACATGGTCGATCAAGTCAGTATTCTTTTCGCATTCTATATTTTTTTTTTAAAAACACAATATACACACTTTTTATGACTTAGCAATGTAAATAAGGACGTCAAATGTCCTATCATATATGTACAGGTTTCTTTCAAATGATTTATCCTATCTCTCCCAGGGTAAAATACTTTAATATCTTGCTCTGTGTAGCAATAGTGACAACTAAACCCTCTCATTAAGACAACACTATATGTCTCATTGGGTTTTTTTCATAACATGCAAAGCAACTGTATAGTCCTGTGTCTTACCAGACTTTTCCAGGCTGTTTTTTAACTCTGTCCAGTTGTTTATTTGTCCAGAGCAATAAGGCCTGAAATTATCAGATGCATGAAACTGATGAAATTGTTTTTTTCAAAACTTTATACTAAATAAACCAGGCAAAAACGCGAGTGCATAAAAAGTTAAGGAACACAAAGAGTACAACAAAAAGATAAGTTACGTGACGACCTATTATAGCACATCATTCAAAGTAAAAGCCAAGCCATAGTATAATTATTTATGCATGACTGTCATGCAAGAGAAAAGTTTCGTTCACTTTTTTCCCGCGCCGAAAGTAGCTACAATTATCGCATATATAGTGACGCATACACACATCAAAAAAACAATAAGACTATCTTTTATCAACCGATGGTATAGTATGGAACACGTTTTTCAGAAACTCACCAGTTTTTTCCAACTGAAATATTAATTCCTGCTTGTTGTAAAGCTTCGGACGCTTTCTTAATATCTAGACATGGAAAAACGAAACGAACTCCACTCCCTAGCTTTAATAATTTGCTATAGTAGATGAAAATGTGGTTTAATATATGGCAACATCCCACCTTCTATATAGGCGGGAATATAGGCGGGAATATAGGCACAATTATATACACTTGACATTTGTCAGTGTAAATAATAGTGCTAATCTAAATCTACTCATATCCTTGTTGTTATCAAATCTCCTATTTTTATCGAGGTCATCAGGTGGCTGAAACAGCTATGGTGCACAGTGTTCAACACAACCTATTCATGCAGGACTATGTTTTTGTATGAAAAACATGTGTAACTAACTACCTTTTTCATATTGGTTCTTTCTTTGTGGTGCACTGATTACAGAAGATCCATAGTCTGTCATAGCTATACCAACACTACAATAAGAATTCATTTTGAAATACAATTCATTAATATATACTATGGCCGTATTCTAAAAGACCGTGTTTTAGAAGAATAATTCTTTTCAGAACAGGCCAGGGAGAGAGGCACTAGAAATAAGTAAGCTTCCTAAATAAGTGGATCTCCCTATAGTCTCGCCAACTGATCAAATAACATGAACCACATAGACTGGCAGTAAATAAATATTCATATTATGTCAAGATATTTAAAGTTACGGTTGAATGCAATTTGTCCTCATTTTGCTCTAATGAATGCATATTAACAGCTAGGTAGTTTCAGGGACTCCAGGTGATTCCCGCCGAATATTAACATGGGGCCGGTTGTATGAAAGCCGGATAGCGCTAATCACCGGATAGTGATTTTTTCAATCGCTTTAAAATCGCGCGTTGTTGGGTATAACTTTGATTAAATCTTAGTATTTCTAAATTGAGGATTCTCTTTAACAATAGTTGGTTACAATTTACAAAGCTGAAATTTTATTGCGATTCAAGCATTTTTAGAAGGGTTGAAAAAATCACTATCCGGTGGATATAGCGCTATCCGGCTTTCATAGCTACAACCGACCTCTGACTCGTCTTGACTTTGTCGCTCAACAAAAAAAAAAAAAATATATATATATAATATATTATATATATATATATATATATATATATTATATATATATATATATATATACCTGAACGAGGTGCTACTTTATATACCTGAACGATATACCTGAACGAGGTGCTACTTTATATACCTGAACGAGGTGCTATATATATACCTGAACGAGGTGCTACTTTATATACCTGAACGAGGTGCTATATATATATACCTGAACGAGGTGCTACTTTATATACCTGAACGATATATATACCTGAACGAGGTCCTACTTTATATACCTGAACGAGGTGCTACTTTATATACCTGAACGATATATATACCTGAACGAGGTGCTACTTTATATACCTGAACGATATATATACCTGAACGAGGTGCTACTTTATATACCTGAACGAGGTGCTACTTTATATACCTGAACGAGGTGCTACTTTATATACCTGAACGAGGTGCTACTTTATATACCTGAACGAGGTGCTACTTTATATACCTGAACGAGGTGCTACTTTATATACCTGAACGAGGTGCTATATATAACCTGAACGAGGTGCTAGTTTATATACCTGAAGGAGGTGCCGCTGATGTGTTCGTATGAATAATTCAATTTTCTTTTTACAATACGAAACTAAAAAAGGTAAAAACTTTCCATTTCACTTGCCCAAAACCCTGCAAGTCAACACAAATGATCCTTTGCGAATGTACACAGTACACACATACATCATACATCATATAGATCTCTAACATGATTTTTTTCTGTTTTGAATGTTTCTGTTTGGGAAGTTTTCTGTTTCCAACAAAAAATATTATTGGAAAATTGAGAAATATCCGGCTCCACGAAGCATTTTATACCTTATCATCATACTTCGCCAAGACAAGAGATCTTGAATACCCCAAGTCGTTTTTCTTTCCGTCTATCATCTCTTTCGCAAGCTTAATTAAGATCAACAGCAAGATTAGTTCCTGTTGCACCTCAACGGAATTATAAAGCCATCAAGAAATAACAAGTAAATACTCAACTTGCTTTACAAAATAGGATTAGTGAACGTTGATTTCAGCGTTGTCAAGTTTAATAAAAAATTCACCTAATAGACCTTTTCGGTAATTACGTTACAACATTGTCGTTTTAAACTTAGAACCACTGTAAATGAGATGGATTTCATGTTTTACTTTCACATTAAGCTATGTGCAAAGATGCAAAACATCATTCTATAACCCGTGCATGAAAAATAATTTTTAATTTTTACTAATAAGTATGGAATAAGCCATAACGCGGGAACGAGGCTCGCGGTCTTGGCCCCTCAGCCTCGTTCTCGTGTCATGGCTTATTACCACATTTCTTGGTCAAAATAAAAATTTTATTTCATACATGTGTTGAAGAAGGATGTTTTGCATCTTCGCACGTAGCTCGTGAGAGTAAAACTTGAAATCCATTTCATTTAAGGTGGTTCTAAATCTAAAACCTTGTGATGTTAAAATGTTGTCACGTAATTACCGTTCTGAAAAAGTTTATTTCCCGGGGGATCAGTATTACACTCTTTTGAGTGTAATGTACGACTCAGTACGGCTGTTCAAAACTGTAGATATCTTCAACAATCCGAAACATAAATGACCTCTAATCAAAATTTTCCCATATTTTTCACATATATATAGTCGCCCACTTACCTTCTGATCTCTGTCGGGATCATCAAAGTGGGGCATGACCTCAGATAAGTAAACACTGATACGATCCTTCAATGTGGTTTCCTCCTATTTAAACAGAAATATTGTTATGATGAATACATCAGTACGCCAAACAGGAATGGAAGGCCAGAAATATAAAGGTCTGAGACCTGATTCTCAGGTTAACGTCACTTTTTTGTTGTGTCATTTGAAACTTTGCATGATCAATATATAACTGAACGTTAACGTATTATAATAAAGTTGTTTCTTATCTACATCGTACCTCTTTATTTAATAGTGGATGGAAGAAAACCAATCCATTGTTAGTTATTGCAAATGGATAACCGCCAGCACCCAGCTATACAAAGTTTAAAATTAAAGTATTTTGTTTATTAATTAACAAAGTTGTGTGCCTTACGTCGATAGGTTGGGAACGAGTTGGGAGTCTCCTGGGGCCGGTTGTATGAAACTCTTTAACTACATTTTGCATAGGTGAGGGAAAATCAGTTATGATTTTGTGGCACTTCACCCGATGTAGGGGTTTTTTAAACGGCCTTAACTTCGGGTGGAAACATACACAACTCAATTCAAGCCAGGGACAGGTTGATTCCAGTCGATTTCTATCGGAGGACTTTTTTCAACTGTTCCTGGCTTGAGTTGTGTATAATTCCACTCGGAATTAAGACCCTTTAAAAAAAACCCCTTACATTTTGCATAGTTAAATCCTATAGTTAACTCAGAAATACACAACTTTGATTGGCCAATTCTGTCCTTAACTACAGTCTTTTATGACAACCACGATACAACTGACTTCTGGTGATGCGAAACTTGCGCAAATATAACTCAAAAATAATAACTCAGAAATAATTCTCACATGTGGCTCCGGAAACATGGCTAAAATCTCATCTAAACGAACATCAGAGCCAAGCACACCAACAAGTTTCTAGGGATGAAGTACATGTAATGAAATTAAAATGAAGTGTTTAAAAAATGAATGAACATAAACAGAACATTATTAAAATAAATGAATTATAACTGGGAATGAAAAAATGTTTCAATTAACATAATTTTGTTTGCGCCGTTAATGCTTTTATGTAAAAAGTGCAACTATAGTAGTTGATTTATTAATAAATTTGTAACATTTATTAGGCATGAGCAAGTTTTAAATCAATGATTTCATAAACTCACTTTTAGGTTTTTTAGGATTATGCCTACCTTTCTCTGATCAAAAATAGGAAGTACAAGAGCCGACGTCATACCAAGTCCCTATATAATAAAATAAAACATTGTAAAATATAACATATGTATGAACGTTGGGGAAAAAATAAACCATATAAACCTTGGACCCAGATGCTGCATGAACGAGTATATATGCTTACGAGGGTCGCTTCCTATATACCCTGGGTAACGCACCTTGGTGTAAAAGCCAGAAAGCCTTATCTATAAATTCCTGAAGTCAGTACTGATAAAAATAACAGAGGCAACAAACCTGAGCGTCCGAATACATTGGTGTCCATTTGGCCTTCTCATCTCTTGAACGACTTAAAACTGTCACGTATTTCTAACAAAAAAAGAGTAGACGTAAGTCAATGAAAAATAAACCAAAGAAATGAAAGAATAATCAATGTTATCGTCATCTAAGCGTTTACGTTATCTATAATAATACTCATTTGTAAATATGTATATGTATGTATATATATATATAGGCGAGGTGGTTACAAGCCAATATTCATGCTCAAGCCAATATTCATGCTTCAGAGAAAGTGAATCTTGACCAATAAGAATGCAGGAAAATCAATAGTCACCTCGATATTTATACTTTATATAGTACATCCACATAGATCATTACATTGACACTTGAATATAATAAGTCATTTCAATCAAATCCTTGCAGGAAAAAAAACATCCCACTGAAGAAATCTGTGCAACACGAGGATAATTATTTGCTTACCACAATGTTTTCACGAACATCACTCAACGTTTCAATCCTGTAAAAAAACCCTGAAAGGGAATAAAAGAGATGAATCAAACGCGAGCATACATGTTTCTTCTTTAAATTCACCACTTGCTCATGTTCAGCTTCTAGCCATGATCACAATCGATAATTGCAATGATTTACCATTGTTATTACAAGCAATCCACTTTACTGCTTCAAAAGGACTTCCGTTTTCACGACCAACCAAGTAAGTGAACACTCGAACCTAAATATACAATGGTAACTTTCCTGGTTACCTCCATCTCTAACTGACAGGCCAAAACCTTGCAGTTGTTAATATAGAATCTTCTCCTTATAGTTGGTTTATCTTCAGTACAAACCCCTCGTATGAATATTGTACACTGCATTATTGTACAAACAACTTACTTTTTTTTCGCTGTTATATTTATCAAAACATCTTCAGCAACTGTGTCACCTTCAACACCATCGGTAAAAAATGCAATTGTCTGAGTGCAGTTCGAAGTTCTTCCAGACTTCATTTCACGTGCCTCCTGCAAACATACAATAAACAACACAGTTCTTAGAACTTCACAACAGTTATTCCTGAATTTGTTCTGTCTCCGCAAAAAAAATTGTGTGAACGAGGAATTTAATTTACTTTTTCTTCCTCCCGGCATCTCGCATACATTTATTATAATTAATAATAATAGCAGTTATTCGTCAAGGCCCATAAATATTTAGACGAACTAGATGAACGGATCACTGCTGAATAGCAAAAAATATGCATGCAACAAACCTCAAGAGCTGTAAACGCCAGTTTAAACCCTTTGTCAACGTTAGCAACATTTTTTCCCTTGACAGAATCATCCATCACTGCAGCTTTTAATATCTTAAAATGACATATGCAAAACTCAGCAAACAAAGGACAAAATATATATGAAACACACCTAAAATAAGGAACTACAGAATAACCTTTCGTCCTTCACTTTGCGTCTGCCGACATTCATCGGCTGTTTCGATTTTGCTGCTTTTCAGGCAGGACGCAAAGGTTGCCCAAGCCAGACATAATGCATGGTTATACCATCTTTTAAACTCACTCTTTATACAAATCTTCACAAAAATAACTTTTCCCCACATCCCTTTGAACATGAAATAAAGATTTAAAGCTTAATTTCTTTTTGTTATATATACCTTCTTATTTCTCTCCGTGGCTTGTACTAAATGCTTCCAGCAGTCCTTTAAATAACGAGCATTTTTGTTGAACTAAAAAACAAAAACTTTTTTTAATTTGATAACAGACACTTGAATGTCGTCGACATTCGGGAAGAATTGACGCGCACATTAATATATAAATACAAAACATCAATTGTATATCGGAGTACCCCCTTACAGAAACAATGGTGACGAAATCGTTTTCTTGCAAAGTATCCAGTAATTGTACAACGGCTGATCTCATAATTGACAATCGGTTACCAATAACACTTCCACTCCTAAATTATACAAATATTGAGAAAAAACACTATTTTATTAACTCGACTTTCTTCCATACGCACTTTCGACGATAGCTTCTTCAGCACGTACAACCACTATAAAGGCACCATCAGTCCCTTCCTTGGCCATGCAGATAAATTTAGCACAACGTATATAGGCTAATTATTCACAACACACTTGTAAACATCGAACAAACACACAGACAGAATATAATAAACATTTTCATTTTTTATGCACAATGAACGAATTAGTTTTTCGAGTCATCAACGTGAATTACTTACAGATCAAGAATAATGACCATGTCTTTTAACTCGCACCATCAATATACCTGAATATAGAGAGGGTTTCATTTAATACAAAAGCACCATTCTATATTAGAGATACGTATGTCGGTGACTTTCCGTAAAAGTCTGCTGCATTAGGATGAAGGACAAAATTTTCATTTCTATTTTGCCGGCGCGTCCGAAATATATACGCTTTTTCGCGACGCCATCTTGAATGTATTGCTTTGGTTATTGTTCTAGTTCTTGTCCCACTTACAAATAACCTGAAGAGGATATCGTTGTTTGTCACTGTCGCATCTAATCCTCTTAAATTTTTTTGCCACACTAAGAGTTTCTAAAACTTACCATGATCTCTTACGTACGTCGAAATACTGTAAATGCGCACTGGCATTACGCCAAGAAGTTCCTAAAATTTAATAATTTTATACACCCGTTATACTCTGTGAATATATTTTGGGGGGGGAAATTTGACAAGCCTCGTTTTTGCGTAAATAGCAACAGACTTCTTGTTGTTGAATATAGGTCTACTACAATCGACTAGAACTGATCGTACCAGGATACCAGCGATAGACTCCATTGGACAAGCCAATATACTGCCATGCTTTCATCTTTTGATTGTTATAATTTTCCTTAAATTTCGTATCTAGTTCCTTCGTCCAGTCAATCGAGTTCAAAATTTTAACAGCTTAAATAAAGGGAAAAAGATAAGATCACGGTTGTCAGACAGATTGACTAAATAAATTACGTCAAAACAAAATTAGTGCTTCCAAAAACAAAGAAAACCAAGTATAGATTTTCTAAAGTGAACACATGATAATTGGCATGAAAAATATACTATTGGAAAAAGCTAAATTTGGTGGGTAAAGTGTAAATTGTATATATATCATATTATACTTATTCTTCGCCAGTTTTATGAAAACTAAAAAACATGCATTTGATTCCCAGTTCAGACAGGCAAAAATACCCTAAAAGTAAAAATGTTGGGAAACGATTGTTCTATGATTTTGATCTCTTTTCAAACCTGCCTGAAGCTGAGTGCACAAAACAATAGATCTTTAAACATAAAGAGTATCTCACAGCAACATTGCGAATGCCATGCAAATGCTTCGCTATTTGAACTAGAGTTCTAACATACTATATTGGTAGAGGTCAGTTGGAGTTTGGACAGCGCTTGTTTGCAAAGTGACACGGACAGAAAATCCATCGGTCTCTCCCAACATGGACTCGTTCCCTTCCATTGCATTAAAGTACTCGTACTGTAAGAAAACGAACCAACGTTATTTAATCAAATATGTGGTAATAAACTTGGCCTAATATGGTGGAATTCGGCCCCAGCGACACTAGTGCCAGTACCGAGTAGTCAGTTGTAGTCAGTAGTGGACAAGTAATTTTCGACTACTCTGTCTACTCGGTTTATGGTCGTTTCGTACTCTTGTCATTTCGTACTTCTGCCGTTTCGTACCCAGGCCTGGTCGTTTCGTACCCAGACATGGTCGTTTCGTACCCAGACATGGTCGTTTCGTACCCAGACAAGGTCGTTTCGAACTTTACACATGAGGGACTTAATGAGCTAGCTTTGCAAAAACAAGAAGACGAATATATTTATTTAAGCTCATTTCAACTGCCGAAAAATATATCCGTGATCTGTCCGTTTATTTTTTACTTATACAACTGAACACTAACTATTGACACAAAGATCTTTGTACACCGGGTTACATTTCCTTCAGAAACTAACTGAATGTTAAGTTCTACAAGCAAGGCTTCCTTATGAAATAGCTCAATTAGCCTGTAGAACGGTATTCCACGACGACCAAAATACATTCAACTTTAGCAGCACCGTTTCTAGCCTCCCAACACGTGTCGCACTTTGGAGCGCGTTTTGGAAATCAAAGACATCGCCAACAGTCCAACACGCGTACAAGACGAACACAGATAATCTTCGGTTAGGTCTTGTAAAATTTTTAAATCTCTCGGAGACAGGTTCTCACAACAAGAATGGCACCACATGCATTCGGCATCCTTCGCAAAAGATCGAATTGTCATTGCATTGCAGACTGCAAGTACCACATGGCCATTTGCGCTTAAGTGTGCGTGTAGACTTTCGGACCATTTTCAAACGATAAATTTGAACTGCCGAATGAAAAACTTAAATGTTGCAATACAGAGTTTCAAGTCAACAAAGAAAGTGGTTTTTATCAACGCTTTTAATGAAAACTGAACTGATTGCAATAAAAGCAGTCATATAGCGTTTGAGTACGAAACGACTAAAATCGGGGTACGAAACGACCATCAATTAGAGTACGAAACGACCAGGGATATGGGTACGAAATGACAAGAGTACGAAACGACCTGACACCGTCTACTCAATATTGTCAATATACGCAATTGTCAAATTCATTCACCAGACTACATGCATTAATGTTACTCAACACCTCTGGCTTTTTGAGATGATGGGATTGTTGGCCTTCACTTTCGGTGTCTTAGTAACATCAATTGCTAGACAAATTGCTAGACAAATTCTTAGTCCCTAATTTCTATTAGTACTCACATCTCTCGCCTAAATCTGTCTTTATAGTGTGGTTTTTGTAAACCAGCTCAGCATATTTTGCCATGTCCTACAATAATAAAATACTTTGTTTTCATGCCATCCTCTGCGTCAAAAAGACGTTTCGTGGCACCTTTTTGATACTTGATAACGCCCCAGTCGCCCCTTCAACCTATTTATATGTCTCACATGACCCATATCTAAGGGCTTATGCAAAGGGTTTATGAATTAACAAAAATCAAACTGATTTTACATCGTATCTGCAACTTAACTATCTACAACGAAAACTATATGACGAAAACTAAAGGTATACTTGAGGACAGTGATACCCAAAACAATTGCATTTTACTGGACTAACACAAACGAGTAGCTATATAGTCTTTAAAACTATGCTGCATGAACAGCTAGTATTTGTTATAAATGCTATGTGGACAAATGGGGAATTGAATAAGATGTGGATCCATGCATGAATGGATGAAAATGGCTCTAGTGAGTATTTATTTATTATATTTAGTATATGGAATTGTATGTTGCTTCTTGTAATATTGTTAAGCAATAATCAGCGAAATGTCACATGATGATACCACAATAACACAATAGTGTCATTAATTAGAATGCATCATTTGATTCATTGTCATTGATATTTGCTAGCAAGTATGCCATAAGACAAGACAATTAGTATTTCTTCATGGCAGATGTCAGACCAGGAGGAAAGAAACAAGATATACACATTCCCTGCCCTATTTACAATGTCATCAAGTTGTTATCATCAAATTGAGGGTTCACACAATTCTTTACTAGCCTTCTTTCCTATTACTCCTGCCATTCCGCTTTCTTCGCCCTAGTCATAGCAGACATAGCCCATTTGAAAAAACACATGCATCCTTTGCTGTCCTCACTTGCCTCCCTCCCACCATTCCCCACTTGCCCCCCCAACATTCTCATATTGTTTAAAATAAAAATCATTAAGTTGGTTAGAAAACTAATATAATTCAGTTATAACAGTTGTCTTGCAAAAATTTTGCAAAGTAGGTTTATAGAGTGCGTCTAGTGTATGGTTTCAAAAAAAGTGGTGTCGGAAAGTCCCATACATAAATCTTTTTATTCATGAGTATATTGGAGATGCATGCGCCCTAGGGCAGCTAGGGTGAGCACCCTGATGTATCATTGCAAAAATGGGATGTCTACACTAGCAATTTCTATAAGATAATTAATGCACTGGTTGGATACCTGAAACTTTTTAAACATTAGGTTTTTTTATTGCTTTTTGATATGCCTTAGCGATATAAACTTTGGTGTTAAAAGATATTTTGGAAAGTGATTTTCCAATTGCCCACCCTCTTTAATTTCGTATATGAATTTATAAGGATATATAATACTTGTTCAGTCAGAATATGCATATAATTAAAACCTTCTAAATCTGAGAAATGTATGCTTGCAAATACTTTTTTACAAAGTATTTCATCAAAAAATTATCCCAATTGATTAAATACATTTTGCCTTTTGGTTCCTAGCTTGGTTGAGGGAGACCCTTTTAAACACCTGTCAAAAGTTCCTGCAATCCACTTCAGGTTCAAACAAATTGTCATTTATTTTTTGTTCTCAGTCACCAAGTAAATGCTTTTTGCATGTGCATATAAAGGTTTCTAACTTCTGGAAACTCTGGTTTATTAATATATATATATTATATGGATGGTTTTGTACAAAGCTTTACAATATGTGGCAATAATGAAACAAAATTTTAAACAATACCTACCTCAGCTGTGGATGTTCGATTCTTGAATAACATTTTTAAATTACTAATATCCTTATCTATTGCCGTCTTCGCGAGCGATTTCCCATCAAGATCTTTCTGCAATAAATTCATATTAGCAAACAGTTTATAATGAAGCAATGAAAAATGTATTCTCAATCGTATATACAAACGTCATATATTTATAACGGTTTGAATGAACAAATGCTGGCAAAAAAACTTACCACGATGTCGGACAATGTCGAATAGTTTACTGCTTCATTCAGAACGCTGGCCAGTTTCACGCTTAAATTATTTGCGACGGTGCGAGTTTCACTGTAGAAATTTCAAACGTTTAAAACAGAAAAATATATACACATACATATAGCAGACGCTTTCATAAAAAAATATATTATATTATCTAACTTACTCATCTGCGCCATAAATGCTTCCGAACGAAGCAAAGATGAAAATTATAGCAAAATTGAACAAACTCATCGCTTCCCGTTTTGAACGTCGTATGCGTGGACAAATGAAAAACACAGCACAATTAGATGCAGCGGATTATTTTCCCGAGACACGTAGAAAATAGAAAGATATGAATGTTTAAAAGCTTATGTTGACACAAATGCAGATGTTGTGTGTTATAATATGCGACAGGTGGTTCACTCATACAATAAACGCAATTGGTCAATCCCGTATATTGAATAGATAAACGAAGACATTTCCACATATATAACAACAAATAGTCTACAACTAATTCGAAGATGAAGAGAATTCGAAGATGAAGAGGAAAAACGAAATGAAAAATAATAAAACATATTCTTTGCCACTCAATTGCACACGATGGGCATAGCATGTTGACTAATTAGTGACAATAAATTACAATTCCATTTTGGATTATACACTTTTTGGCTTTCATTAATTACTTTTTTGCAACAATCTCATGTTCTAAATGCTAGGCTATATATTATTAGGTATTTCTCATGCCTGCTGTTTGTATCGAGGGCATCAGGAACACCGAATGATGCGAGGGCAGAGTTCAGACTTTCATTAATGGGCACGGCGCAATGCTATCGTTTACCTCTCTCTGATATTATTTCAGAGGTCTCTGGTAAAGGACCACCCTGGAAGGAACGGATCGAGTTTGGGTTTTGTTCCACGCGCCATCTCAAGGTCTACAGGGTGTCCCCAAAAAACAACACTAAATATTCATAAATACTCAATCTTTTGTGTTCGACTATACATAGAAAGCGACGAAAGCGAATATTTCGTGAATATTGGGTGTGGTTGCGTTTTTTTATTCACTCGTACTCATGAAATGCTTAGCAGCTTGTCAATGTGCTTGTCCTTGGGATCACGTCTGATGAGATCGTGACCTCATTTTCGTGTAAAATCCATATGCATATAACATACTCTGGCACAATTGGCCTACCGGTAAACTCCCAAGCGCCAAAAAAACATTAAACTAAAAGAAAACACTATGGGACGGAGTTCAACTGTCGATGTTTTATATAACAGGAATGTCGTGAATAGTTTGAGGAATGAAACGTTTGAGGAATACTACCAAACGCATTTTCGGAAGAGTTATTCTAAGAAAAGACGGTACACATTTTAAGCAGGTATATGGTTTATTATCACACTGACAATATTTCTAGCCTACACATTTAGACCAAACCGGGTTTTGGTCTAAATTTTCACACAAGCCCCAAATTTAATATAACAATCCCACTACCGTCTCCAGATAGTATCCCCCTAGCCAATAACCGATTATCTAGCCATCTATATACACGCATAGTGCAAACTGCAATGTACAGGTAGTGAATATTTATAGATATGGAATGTTCAGTTAACGGGAAACATCGTGGTTTCTTCACGAGCTATTCTTTTCCTTTTTGCCACAAAACCGTGTTCATCATCATCACCAAGCCTATGACAAAACGAAATTTCAGTCTCAAAGAACTAATAGGTGAAGAGGTAGTTTTTCATCAGTTGACGTGATCTGACGAACTTCAAAGAGTATCATGCAAGGGCGGACTTTAGCCCTATACGTCAAGGGTTTTTTAGTGAGGGGTAGTGACCCGAACTTTTGTTTCAAACCAAAATTCTTACATCTCAATGTCATTTTTAGTATATTTATCATGAATAATTCATAATTTCAAAATTACAGTTTTTTTCCTCGCTTCACAATGTCACATGACCTCCCATCCCGGGGGAGGGTTATCTATCATTGTCTAGGAGGGTTGTAGCACTCTACCATAGTATTGTGGTTTTCGTGGAGTTGAGCCGGAGACCTCACGCGAAAAAATAACGATTCCCTTGTTAACTGTTTTGTATTAAAACTGTGGTAAATGGCATAGGTATATATATCTGATAAAAGGAGAGGCGGTAGGAGTATAGTCATTGTTGACTGCACACAGGTGGGAATATTCCATAACAACAAACACCTTGAAGAAAAAGCACATGCTACTGTAGAGATTGTATTCTAGTAAACTTACGACACAGATGTTGATATTCCTTCTTGCAGTTCCCCAACCATTTCACGCAGTCGCTTAGCACACACAAGTTTCGCTTCCTCGTGATCAATAATTCTCATTGGATAATCTTTTCCAATGATACAACCGGCTGCTTGCTGGACTTCAATAGGAGCATTCCAGGGATCATAAATGTACTCCGCGGGAAAGTTACGCAATTGCGGAATATATTTCCTAAAAGAGAAGGTGCATACCTCATTAATATTAGCAATTAAGTATAAAAATCGTTTAATGTTATGTCAGCGTTTACAGGTCTGCTGGAATCCCGATAATTGACACATTTTTCTCAACTGTTCCTGGCTGATGATGTGCATGATTTCCACTCGATATTAAGACGTCACCCTTCGAATTATCCTACAATCTACATCAAAGAGGTGACACAATATCGTATATATAGGCATGTAGCTAGAAATACCGTATTAACATTCCTTGTGGATCATGTTGTTTTCCGGTGTTGACTGGACAGTAATACTTGTTACTTTTGATGAAAAATGAACTGCAAGAGATCATCAGCCAGTTGGCAGCACATAGACTCCATTCAAAGTCGATTTGGAATTCTTGACATGTCTACAATATTCACACATATCACACATATAAATACACACACCACATTGATCTAAAGGATTAAATTCGCGTATTGAGGATTTACTTGGCTGGGTTCATACTATAATAATATTAATCGATAGTAATCGATCTGGACAAATGTGCTTTTTTTTAACTGAAGGGTTTGAAAAGGTATTAACAAAATTAAACATACCTTAAACCCCTCTTCCCAGGATACCCAGAGACAACCTCTAGTCAAGAAACATGCGGCTGCTTGACGCCCAAGATGATTTGACCAACCTTCTTTACGTAGCTGTGTTTGGATAGCATCAATCCAAGGAAAGCCAGTTTTACCCTACAATATGATCATACTATAATAAAGCTCCTGTGTGTACATAAATGGCGTGCGTCAATTGATTGTTTGCCGGTCTAAAATCACTCTATATATTAGACAGCAGCCCAAAGTAAAGGTTCAAATTTAAGATTAATTCTTATTTAAGAACCCGGACACCCTTCAGGGAACACATCGTAAATAAATTTTGTTTACACTATAGTTACTCATTCGTAACAAGTACGAAAGATCGGCCCCGAAGCTCATTTTAGCGCTCAGGGGCCGGCTGAGCCGGGTCATAGGGCCCCGCTTACCTCGCGCCAGTCTTTGAGGAAATCACGGTTAGATTCCCAAGGAATCTGAAGACAAACAGGATTATTCTTCATCTTGTCAAAGAAAAAATTGCGATGGCCCAGCGTGAACAAAAAGTCACGGAACATCAATTTCATCAGGATATTAATGATAAACTGATTTTCGTTGGTCTGAAATGAAAGTACGTAAGAATGAAAGTGTCTTCAAACAACTCTGTATCGTTATAATATTCAAATACTCGCGAAAATTACTCGCGAATCGCACAATTAAAGAATTGATAATATCGTTTCATCTTTAACAAGAATTGTTACCCCATGCACCCACATTGTAATCGATGTACACGTGATCCCTTCGCGTACATGCAAACGGACGTGCAAGTTGTTCCCGGTTGATACTAACAGGACTAAAAATTGTTGTGCTGCACTGCACCAAAACCATGTTTGTTATCAAGTGGCAGTTGAAGTTTGTTAGGCTTTAAAAGGTTACTGCACGTTGTGCTGCGTCCACCTGACAACGAGGTTAGTGAGATGCAGCACAACACTTTTCAGTTCCGTTTTTTACTAACAATTTGAGGAAGCAAAACGTTAGGTCATCAACGTAAGGAATTAATCCATCTGCATAGTAGCTAAAAATATTTGTACTGTAGTCGAATTCAAATCTTCATATACTCGTTTTTAAAATATTTTGAAATGTAAAGACGATAACAAAAATATGTAAACAGAATTTAGATTTAATTTTTAAACCCATTCCTCGATGTTCCTTCCAATAAGAACATTTTTTTATTGCCTTACCTTTTTCCTAAGTTTGCTCAAAGTATGATACATCAATCGGGAGGATATACACCCAAAACGCATGTAAGGAGACAAAGCGGTAACTTTCGGAAAACAGGCATCTCCAAAACTATCAACGTCTGCATGTTCATTCTCAATCTAAGAACAGATAATATCAGTTATAGCAAGCCGCAAACAAACAATAGACTTTTCTTAAGATGACGTAGTCTAACGTCACATGATGTCTCCGCAAAACTAACGAGCTAATCAAACTTCGTGTAACATTATACTTTCCGCGCTTGACGTCACACTGAGAAAGGCCTATTGAAAAACAGCTTTTTTCAATAGGCTATCAGCTACACGGGCGATTTTTGTCAACGATATTTTCTTTCTAGTGTATGTTATTTAGTGGACTACGCACACAGTTGTGTAAGCTTGGTGAAGTAAAATATTCTAAACTACCACGATCTACTATGTCTACTAATCTACTCTGTTAAATTTACTCAATAGCATACACCAGAAAGAGAACATCGCCGTTATAAACATAGCCACAGGTTAATATACCTTCTTAACAAGAATATCAAATCTTCTCAATGCTTCATTTTCTCCTCCTTTCCAAACATCCAAACCCTCAACGTCTGCAGTAGTCATTCCAAATTCCTCCAACTGAGGCAGTTCATAACCTGGCACAAAAGGACTGAAACAGCCGTGGAAAGACGTGGAATCTAATGGCAGTAAAGGATTCTCTGGTTGACCAAGTTTTTTTACTGTGGAGATGAAGCGTTTGAATGTAAATGGCTGAAGACTATCGTTAGATTTGACGACACTGTAAGGGAATGCAACACGACATTAGGTTGGGTAGAAACCGGGTATAGTATTCGTAGGAGCATTTACACAAACTTGCGTTCATTATTAAACTTGCAGAAATTACGTTAACACGCGGCATGAAATATCGAGCTCGACTTTAAGCTGTAGCCCTAAACTTCTTTAACTTTCCTTTGGCTCAACTCTTTTCTAATATCATTTTGTCGTTTGGGGCGCTTCTCAGCTCGATGCATCATCACACGGTATAGAGTACAAACGAGAAGAAAATATTTCATCTGATATACAGTAAGGTGTGATTTACATACTTAGGAATAGAATAGAGAGTATGTGATACTTTAGTGACGACTTGTATATCACACTTCTTTGCTAATGCAACAACAGAATCCTCAAGTTTCTTCCCAAACGGCTCCGTATCTTCCTCCATTGTTAATTTT